CCACCCTAGAGACCCCCCCTTTCTTGGGCTCAAGTCCCTCCACTAAAAGTTTCTATTTCTCTTATCACCATTTCTAAGTTCCCTGTACTCTTCACCCACAACCAAGGCTCACACAAACCCTCAACAGAGCTGAGTTCAGTAAAAAAATACTCACTAAAACAACACCCACGCTATTCTAAAACACATCAGGGTATGGGGGTTATGGAGCTGCTGGATACTCAGGCGAGGGTGACTCTCCCCAACCCTCCATTGAGGGTATAAACAGCCAACAGTCCCAGCTGGGATGATCTTTTGCAAGAAGGCACAGCTGAATGCCACAAGATGGCAGTTGTTTGGCTCAGAGGGTGGTCTTGGGCAAGGAAGGATAAGGAGAATACGCCCAGGGAAAGGAGGTAAAACTTTTATTTCCGACGTTAGAATCAGAGAACACTGAATGACAGGAAACTTGCAGGTCACTGAATTTGCCTTCTCTCCTGGGGCTGAGATTTCACACTGGCTATCTAGCAAGTGGCCTCATGGTTGTCAAAGCCTTTCTTCTACAAATAGTTGAGGTTTTCACCTCAATATGAAGCTATGAGTTTTATCGCAGCAACTCATGAGTCAGGCTGACCCAAAGAAAAAGAGTCATGGCACCAGATCATCTGGGGAGACACTCAGTATATTGTACCCTGGATGAGGGATCTGAAAACCAGGTATTCTACAGAGGGACCTCCAAAATTAGGAGGGGGGGGGAACTAAATATAGGAGCTAGGAAGATGATCCAGTCAATAAAGTGGCTGCCATGCAAATATGAGGGTCTGAGTTCAATCTCCAGAACCGACATAAAAGCCAAGTGCAACAGCACACATATGTAACCCTAGCATTGAGGAGGTAAAGATGGGTGGTGGATCCCTGGAACTCACTAGCAAGTCAGCCAGGCCTAGCAATACGCTCCAGGTTCAATGGAATATCCTACCCCCACCCAAAAAATAACAAATAAATACAGGGCTGGAGTAATAACTTCAGAGTACTTGCAGTTCTCCCAGAGGATCTGGGTTCAATTTCCAGAACACATATGGGTCTCAGAACCATGTGTAACTCCAGTTCCAGAGAGAATCCAACACCCTCTTCTTACATCTTTGGTCAAGAGGCACACCCTTGGGTAGCAAAAGAGCTGAGACATTGCTGGTATTATTGAGCGAAGTGTCTCTGTGAGGGCAGATCAGCCATTCCAAAAGGGAGGGAAGAGCATGAGGAAATGGTAGACCAAAGCAGCAAGACTGAAAATCAGAAGGGCAATCTCCAATTCTGAATCCCCAAGTCCAATGTCAAAGTACTCTTCAGAACTCAAACTTCTTCTAGCTTTGTTGACTGCAACACACTTCTCTCTCTTGAGCTGATCCCATGCCCAGCCTGCAGTTTTCCTCAGCAGGCATCCTATGACCCTAGCATCTCTCTAACATCTTGGAGTTTCCGAGGCAATCCAGACTTCACATTCACAGCTTCATGCAATGGCCTCTCTGAGCCTGCTACTTAGGGACACCCCTGACACACAACCCCTTTCTTGTATCCTTGACCCCAAAGCCAGAACTTAGTGGACACTGCCAAAGTCTATAATTTGATAGGGCTGAAACTTGGTCCCCTTGTTCAGTTATATTTGCATCAGCTTTCTGTTGTTGTTTCCTTCGGTGCTTAAGCTTTTCTTTAATACTTTTTCACAAGTTGGAATCTTACCTGAGTGGGGACTCACTCTGAGGTCACCACTCCCTTTATTATATTTAGCGGCAGGCTTTTCTTTAAACCTTTTTATGTCCTTGAACACTTCCCCTGAGTCCATTACACTCTAGGTGCCCCTTATCTCTTCCAACTGTACATTTTGTATCTCTCTTTGTCCAGCTTGCTTCTTTTTCATGATAGATCTGCGTAGGAGTGATTACTAATAACCACACGACAGAGCCAATACTAGCTGTCTTGAAATCTCCTCTGCCAACACCATTAACCCAAAAACTCTTCAATGTACCTTCAGGCAGACTTTCAGGACAAGAGCAAAAAGCAGCCACATTCTTTGCCAAAATATAACAATGATGATCTTTAGGCCACTTACTAATAATATTCTTCAAATTGCCCTCAGCATTGTTTTCCATTTCTATTAGGGTGGACCATTAAGCCTTGCTTAAAGTGTTAAACCACTTTTCCAGTCCAAAGTCCCAAAGTCCTCCATATTCCTCCAACACCCAGCATAGTGATACCTGTCACAGCAATTCTCTGCACCCTTGTGCTAACCTCTGACTGAGCCACTGTTCTTTGCTATGCAGAGACACCATGACCATGGTAAGAGAAGCTATTTAACTGGGGCCTTGCTTACAGTTTCAAAGGATTACTTAGTCCATGATAGGTCATGATGGGGAACACGGCAGGAACGCTGCTGGAGAAGTAGTTGAAAGCTATCATGTTCGGCAGGCAGAGATTGACAAGGGTCTGGCATGGGCTTTTGCAACCTCAAAGCCCACCCCCAGTGATACACGTCCTTTAACAAGGTCACACCTCCTGATCCTTCTAACCCTATCATACAGTTCTACTCCTGGGTTCCTAACCATTCAAATATGTGAGTCTATGGGGGCCATTCTCATTCAGTCCGCCACAGCACGCTGACTGCTCTGAGCTGTTTAGGAACAGGGTGGGGCTCTCACTAGCAAAGATGACATTGAACTGGGGATTCAAGGGTTTAGTAGGAGTTGGTCTTGAGAAAGAGGAGGGGAGCATTCCAGAGAGAAGAGGGAGACAGTGCAATGCCCGAGTCAGGAAGGAAATGGCTAGCTTAAGGAATAACTGAATCACATAGTTGGAGTGTATAAGAGAGCAAGTGTGTGTATGCATGGGGTCCTGTCTTCACTTAGGGAGGCCAGTTAGTCTCTGATGGAGTTTCTCTTCTACATCCCTGAAGGGAAGGGGTATCTATCTGATGGGGTTCCTCCTTGCCTGAGCCTCCTACACATTGCTCCATGTCCAGAGTTCATGAGACTTCCACTAGTCCTAACATGAAGCCCCGGGACACAGTAAGTGCTCAATACATTTCAGCTGCCAATCACTACTTACAGGTAGAAGGAAGCCCCTCCTCCTCATCTCACCCAGTTCTCATAGCCTGAAGGTTTAGGGTCTTATTCCCTCCCAGTGTACACATAAAACGAGGCACACGAGACTCCCCTACAGGTCATAGGACTCCTTGCTAGAACACAGGATGGACAAGGGCAGGGGACCTCCATCCAGGCCCAGGGTGGGAACCTGAAGGTCCAGGGATAGCAGCAGCTAGCTGCTGAACAATGAAGGTCCTTGCTCCTCCTGCAGACCCTGCCCAGGTGGTTTTATTAAGGAAGAGGAAGTAGGATGCAGATGGGAGTAACACTTTGAACTGCCCCCCTGTGAGGTGAGCACCATGCATTTTGTGTTTGCTACACACAAGCTCTGAGGCCCCCTGGCTCATCCCCAGTGTGCAGATAAAAAAAAAAAAAAAAAAAAAAAAAAAAAAAAAAACTGAGGCTTTCCTTTAAGAAAGCCCAACCAACGGTCCTGCGCACGACTCCTTGCCAAGAAGCCCAGAAGCCCGCCAGCCAAACAGGCTGCCTTCTGCCACTAGGCAGGCTGTGTGCAGATCATCTTCACGAAGTGCGACCCTCCTCCGCATCACCCAGCAAGCGACAAAGGATTGAGTTCTGCGCCAGCGGCCTCCCAAAGCCGAGTTAGGCAGTACCGCCACCCAGCCCAGGCCTGGCAGCCCTGCCCCCTCTCCCCGTACACCCCGCGGCAACGCGTGACTCAGCGGTTCTCCCCGGAGCGCCGCCCGCAGCATCCACACGCCTGGGTTGCACACCTAGTCTCTGCCTCCGGGGTCCGCGCACCCTCCGGGAGTCGCCGCGCCCGCCTCATTTCCGGCGGAGCTCGGCACCCGGGATGCCAGGCCCACGCAGGTTCCTTGGAGCAGGCACCCACGCACCCCGGCCCGGGGGACTCAGTGCCAGGGCTCCTCCCACCTGCCTAAGCCCTAGACACCTCCGGGCCCGCTGCTCCCGAGCAGGAGACGCCTACACTGCTCGGGAAGGTCTCCAGCACCAGGGTGCCCGTGTGGGCCGCAGTGGCCAGCTCTCGCTCTCGCGCTCTCTCTCTCTCTCTCTCTCTCTCTCTCTCTCTCTCTCTCTCTCTCTCTCTCTCTCTCTGTCTCTGTCTCTGTCTCTCTGTCTGCCTGTCTCTCTGCAGCTGTTCACTCCTCCGGCCCCTGGCTGCGACCTCGAACTGTCCCCACCGTTTCTGCACCCAGGCAGGGCCTGGGGACCCCCGGAAGTTTCTGTCACATTAGCAAAGGGCACCGATCCTCTGCACCACCAGCCTTTGGTGGGCACTGACGCACAGGGCCAACTTAGGGGGTTTTAAACGCAGAGCGGGGTAGCATGCCCCACTTTTTCCGGAAAACCATGAAGGTCTGGCACAGCTCCTGTCTCAGTAGCACTACCCAGGAATAAAACAGTAGCCGGAACGAGCCTCCTTCCCCCTCCCACGCAGGGGATCCGCCTCTGGAGGCCAGGGAGCTGCCAGGACAGCTGAACCCTGGAGGATCTGGCAATGGAATTTTTCCCGCTGGGTCCCTCTCCAGGGAGTGGGTAATCTAGAAATTTCTGCGGGCTCTGGTCAGGCTGGAAGGGCAAATGAAGGATTTTGAAGCCGCCTTTCCACATCCCGGAGATTTCCACACCAGATTTGTTGCGGGCTTGGGCTTTGTAAATGACAGTCAGGGCCCGATTCAGTGCCACCCTGCAGGGGAAGGACAGCTGCATTCCCGAGGGCGACACGAAGGAGGGCGCTGGGCAGCGGTCAGAGCCCCCCGGGTCCCTCCCTCCCGGCCCGGGATCGGGGTGGGGTGGGGGGACACGACACACAGCGCGCGGTCCAAACCTTCGGAGGGCATTCGGTGCGACGGCATCCCCACGCCGCGGCCGGCCGGAGGGGGTCTCAGACAACACGTACGTTACCTTCTGTCACATAGCTGTGGTCCCGCAGGAAGCTGTGGTTAATTTTCCGCGTGTCCGTGTCCTCGCCCATTGAAGGCCGCGCCCGGTGCCCTGGGCATGCCCCGCCGCCCCACACCGATGCAATCCGCAGAGGTCGCGCCGGGCGCGCGGGCCATGCCGCCGCAGCCTAGCAGAGTCGCGGGCCGCCGGGGCCCGGGAGGGCGGGCATCGCGGCCGGGTGGCCGGGAACAGGAGGGCGCCGCGCTCAGGCGAGCGTGCGGCGGACAGGCGGCGGCCGCAGCGTGGGGCGGGCCGGGGACGGGGCGTGCATCCCGGCCGCTCGGTTCGCGCTGCGTCCGGGCGCCTGGCGGTGGCGGCAGCGGCGGCCAGGGGACGCGCGCAGCGCTGAGCTCGGCTGCGCCGTGGCGGGGCCGTGTCGCAGGCCCCTCCCTCCGCCGCGCGCCTCTCCGCCCCCGGCCGCGCAGCCACCGCGCAGGTGGAGCCGATGCACGGCGCCACAGCCACAGCGGTCACCTCTGGAGCTCGGGACGCCACCCGGGAGGAATACCTATCTTGAGTGGAGGCCACCTTGGTGGCCAGGTGTTCCGGTTAGGGAGCAGAGACTTAGGGGGCTCGGGAGCCCGAGAAGGTCGCAGCCCTTTTTTAAAGAAATTGTAGGTTGGTCTGACAATTGCGGGGGTGGGGAGCTGTGCCCAGCGTGCCTTGGGTGGGGGTTGGAAGGTCAGCACCCCACAAAGCTGAGCTGGAGATTTCGGCTGGGGGTGAGTTGTCACCGGTCGGGCCCACCTTTCTGCTCACAGGTGAGATGTGGCTACCGACACCCTGAGTGGATATCGGGAGGCAGGCTGGGTGTGCTGCATCCCGGAGCCTCCTGCAAAGCTAGGACTTCTGCCTTCTTTCCTTCTCTCCTCCCCTCCCTGTCTTACCTTCCTCCCCTCCAGTATCCCTTTCTTCCCTCCCCCCTTTCCTCTTTTTCCTTCCCTCCTCCCTTCTCCTTCTTCCCCTTTCCGTGCTTCCGGCCTCTCCCTCTTCCTTTCCCTTCCTCTTCAGTACTTATTTCTTGTTTCTTCTTTTCTGGTTTCTGTTCCCCGGCTTTCCTGCATCTCCCTTCCTTTGTCATCCAGGTGTTTCCAACATCCTACCCGAACCAGACTTATACAGGGACCTGGGGGAGGGGGAGGGGGTCTCCTCTTTGATCAACTGACTCCCACCCTAAGGAATCTGGAGTCCTGTGTGAGGGGTCACAGGGGTCTCAGGAGTATTTATTGATCCTTAGTCTACCTGGGTTCTCTGTGAGCTCCACTGACTGCACAGCAGCTTAGCCTCCCTTGGGAGGGACCAGGCACTCGGGTTAGCCGGGAGAGGGGCCCAGAGTCCAAGGTGTTTGGCTCAAGCTGAGGCAGGTGATTCTGAGGCTGGCTCCCCGCTCTCATAGAGCTGTTTCAGCTGGCCTGTGGGACTCCAGGCACCCTCCTCCCCAGTGCAGTCCAGAGGGTGTTGGAAGGGAGAGGGTGCGTTGGAGGGACTCTGGTTTCCTGCTGGAGAATGAAGGCATCCAGAGTTACAACTGATGTCCACAGAAAGGCCTGCTGAGGACCTGTACGGTGGAGCATGTACCCCTGAGTCCTCCAGGGTGTTGAGGGAAAAGCTAGACACCCACCATCCCTCCTACCCCCCACCCCACACAGAGGCCTTTGGCTTGGTTAGCACCTGCTTGCTGAGTGACCAGGGGCAAAGTTCCCTGACATACCCCAGGCTGGGCTTTTCCACTGTGAAGCAGGCCACCACTGCCTACCTCTTGGCCTGGGTGCAGATTCTGAGCCAAAACATTCAGACAAGCTCACTTCCCTCAGGAAGGTGACTAGCAAACACATGGTCTCTTCCTGGGCTGGCATGCGCTCCCCTCCAACACCTGCTCTACTTAGATGCCCACTCCACATCCTTACCCAGCACCCCACTCTGCAGCCTGGCCCCATCTTACCACCATGATGAACACTACCCCCACACACGTGTCCCAACCCCATCCCCTGGTGTTAAAGGGATTCCCATGCCCACCCTCTCGCCTGTCTGTCTAGTTTTACCTGCTTAGATGCCCTGGACCACACAGAAAACAGCCTGCCATGACCTAATGCCACAGTCGTGGCTCCGAGCCATGCTGAGGATCCCAGATCCCAAGCTCCAAGCTGTCATCAGCTTCTCTGCACCTGCAGTCTCCTGGTTTTTTTTTTTTTTTTTTTCAGGGCTCACCTGCACTGGGGAGGAGGGACAACTAAGCAACATCCACATGCCCTTTCCCAAGGTCCCTATGGTAAAAAGTTGGTGCCCACCTAAGTTCACCCTGGGAACCATTGGATGTATTAGGCTCAGTTATAAAGTAGTGAGTGAGGGGTGTGGGTGACCTTACAGCAGCCACACTGGAAGGGCTTCACCCAGCAGAGATGATGGAGACCCATCCCTTAGTCCTTCCCTACCCGTGTGCTCTAGTTCCTCCCTGAGACCCACCCCCTTAAGGCTGTATAGAACTAGAGCAGAAATGCATACAGCAGATTGGGAGGGGCAGCTGGATGCTTAGGTGAGGGCCCTATAACCCTCCCAGCCCTCCTTCTAGGAGGGAGTGTCAGCAGTCAAGAAGCCCAGGTGAGATGATGCTTTGGGAACAGTCCCAGCTGGACCGCTGATGGTGGTGAGCTTGGCATGGAGACTAGTCATGTACACTTTCTGACCTCAGAGCCAGCCTCCCCTTTGGGCCTCATGCCCAACACCTGCATCTCTCAGCCGGAGAACCCACCATCCCTCTCCTGTGCTGTGCAGGTTCCTCACTGCACCGGGCAGAAGCATCAGCCCCCCCTCCTCTCCTCCGCCCCCCCCCCCCCGTGTACTCTCTCAACAGACTCTTGCCTTTCTGAATTCACAATGAATGTTGCTGTGTCCCTGCTGTGCAGTCATGTCCCCATAGTGACACGGTAGAGCCTGAATGGTGCAATAAACACCCTGCTTCGGGTCATGGTGATGAAGAGGGGCTAAGCTGGAGATGCACCGGCAAGGACTGTTGGAGCCTCAGTCTCCCCCACATCAAAGAGCAGCCTCCATTCCACATCCGCTTGAGCTCCAGCCGCTTCATGGCTGATGCTAGAAGGATCTGCGAAGATGCCTCCTCTTCCTCGCCCCTCACTCACTGCCACAGCTCCTTCCAAGAAGCTGGGCAGCGTGTGCTCCACTGAGTGTTCCCTTTGTGTCCCTTCTCATATCCAGGACATGCGTGGAGGGCGCCAGCCACGCCTATCTCAAGAAGTGATAGGCTGTGTACTTTTACAGGAGGCAAGAAGCATGATGAGAGATCCAGAGCTACCCAGGGGTCTTCTTGAGGCTGCCACTGGAGATGTCGTTTAGCCGGTAGATTCTGAATGGAGGAGGAAGGGGATTGATTTGCGGATAGCAGGCTAGGCGGTGACCAGACTGTGCCAATGCATAGTCTGAGGGGGTCTACCTTGTCACAGACGTTGCCAGTGTCTAGTGGAGGAGCAAATGAGGCACACGGGGAGGTACAGTTGGGGTGTACACTATGAGACGCCAGAATTTAGACCTAGTATTTGGAAGCCGGGAGCCTGGAGAATAGGAAGTAGGGAGGAGCGCCCTAGAGTCTGGGGCTTATGAGGCTGTCTAGAGAGGGAAGGCTGGGAAGGCAGGAGTTGCAGGGTTGATGACCCCAGGCCATTCTCACTGCTGTGAAGGCCAAGCCAGAGGGTGCTGGGCTCAGCAGTGGGAACAGTGAGTAGCTGACCCCAGAAGCCAGAGCAATAGCTTTGTGAAGGAGGCTGGGCAACAGGGTCATACTTCTCAGTGCTTAGCATCCACAGCTGAGTGAAACACCCAGAAACCGTGCAAGTGCCGAGACACAGGAGACCCGACCATTCAGCTTTTAGACTAACAGCCACCCTGCACACCCATTAAAACTGGACAGACTGCAGCACAGTTCTGCAATGGAAAACCACACAGCAGCAAAAAAGAAACAAGTCACAGCCACATGCCCAAGAGCCTGAGTGAGTCTCAGAGACATCATAACACCCAGCAAAAGAGACAGATGTTGCAGAATATCTGTTTAACTATGCAAAGATGTGCTGTGTTTGTTTATGTTGCAGAATAGTTTCTTAACTAGGTAAAGATGTATTGAACTTGTTTATGTTGGGGAATATTTGTTTAACTATGTTTAAATATGTAAAGATGTGTTGCATTTGTTTACCTTGCGTGCCTAAGGTACCTGATTGGTCTAATAAAAAGCTAACAGATCCATAGCTAAGCAGGAGGTATAGGCCGGGCTTCCAGGCAGAAAGAGCAAGTAAGAGGAGGGATCTAGGCTCAACAGAGACAGAGGGAGAGAGAAGGGAATTTTATGGAAAATACTCATCCAGGTAAAGCCTCCATTAGATCCTGAGTGACTACAGACAAAGGCCCCTTATCACATGTGCAGGGTTAGCAAGTACAAACCCGTGCTGCATGGAGTCACTAAGTCCTGGGGGCTGTTTGTTCTGCGACACACCTTTACCTGGACTGACTACTATATCCTTGTGCACCGGGTAGAGACAAAGTATTCCCACGTGGTTTCTCCTCCTGTCCCTAGAATGGACCAAGTTACACACTGTGCCTGGAAAAGTAGTTCACAAGTGCCTCTTAGGCATACCACAGCCCATCCAGAAGAGTTGGTTTCAAGGACTAGGGGCATAGCTTAGAGGGAGCTTCCCTAGTAGTGTCCAAGGCCCTGGGTTTGATCCTCCGCATTGCAAGAAACAAAACAAAAGGAATTAGCTGCCAGTCTGACCCTCACCATCTTCATTCAGAACCCAGGTTCATCAATGGGTCAGTGTTTGTTACATCTCCTTTCATTCAAGACATAAAACCAGGGCTAGAGAGATGGCTCAGTGGGTAAGGATGAAGACCTCAATTCAACCCCCCAGCACCCATGTAAAATAATAGGTGTGGTATCCCCCAGCCTATAACCCTAGCCCTGTAGGGGCCAGAGACAGGAGGATCAGGGGATTGTTGGCTGCCAGGCTAGTATCAGGTTCAATAACAGACATTCTCGCAAAGGGACAGAATTCTGATCCAGTGTCTTCTCTGGCTTCTGTGTGTACACTGCCATGTGCACCTACACGCACATGTGTGCACACACCACATCCATACACCGCACTCTCTTAAATCCTTATTCACATTGAAAGAAGAGAGAGGAAAAAGTGAGACCGTTTCATGCCTCTGGACATACCCCCTTTCTTCCCAAAGGCAAACACTGTTCCAGAGCTAGCCCCTACCCTATTCATTTGTATCCTTTAACATATGTACACACATTTGAACTAAATTTTTGTCATCTAAAAATTTATATAA